TTTCCAACCTAAATGATTCTGTGATTCTATGATTCTAAGTTCAGTCCCTGCAGGAGCTCTGGACTAAGGGACCAGCAGGTATCCGCTGCCCTGCCTGCCACAGCGGTTAACAAAAGAGTAAGTTTTAGAAAGTTAAACAGGAAAGGCGTACCACAAGAAGCACTCGATATTTTCCATATAAAAGTGAAGAGTAGGTACGCAACTGAAGATGTTTTCCATATAAAGGTATGCAACTGAAGTTGAGGGCAAGGTGTGCTTGAAAATAAGCCAAGAGGTGTGTTCACTACCTGTCAGTTCTTTACACTTTAATCAATTTTATACTTCCATAATGGAAGAAACTGCTTCTAGTAGCTGCCAAACCGTCCTTTCTGTTGTTATGCCTTTGTGTATGCATTTGATGAATTTGCAGATACTACTTGAAGTACCTACAACTTCCACGGGAAAACACTGAAATATTTTCGTGTGGGATAAAAAACAAAAGACACAAGGATGGATCATACAGTATTTTTTTTTTTATTTTACATTCATTATAAATAACGTGTAAGTTGGTTCATCTTTCAGTTTTACGTGATGTCATAAGGACAATATATTACACCGCAATGAAACAAACTCAATAGAAAAAAACAGACAATTGTTTTCATTTATACAGAAGTCATTTGTCATGAAATGACAGCATCCGACACCAAACAGGAGACTTAACAGGTAAATGATGGAAAACCTGAGAGGCAGTGATGTCATTTGCTGAAAGTAAACAAAAAGGATTTTACTCTTGATAGATCCAGACTGTCCCCTGCTCTCCCTTACATATAATCTGGCTAACATCAAATATGTTACAATCTTTTTTTTTTTTTTTTCTTCCCCAGAATTCAAAGAACTCAATTTTCCTTGTATTTAAAGTAGTAATTGGAGACTGTGCGACTATGTATATTTTTAAACCATTCTAAATAGTGACCTGGTGGAAAAGGACCTGGGGGTGTTGGTTGACAGACGGCTGAACATGAGCCAGCAGTGTGCCCAGGTGGCCAAGGTGGCCAACAGCATCCTGGCTTGTGTCAGGAATAGTGTGGCCAGCAGGAGCAGGGCAGGGATCGTCCCCCTGCGCTCGGCACTGGGGAGGCCGCACCTGGAATGCTGTGTCCATTTTGGGCCCCTCAGCACAAGAAGGACATTGGGGTGCTGGGGCGTGTCCAGAGAAGGGCAGCGGAGCTGGGGCAGGGTCTGGAGCACAGGGCTGGTGGGGAGCGGCTGAGGGAGCTGGGGGTGTTCAGCCTGGGGAAGAGGAGGCTGAGGGGAGACCTCATCGCTCTGCAGCTCCTGGCAGGAGGGGGCAGGGAGGGGGGGTCGGGCTCTTCTCCCAAGTGACAAGCGAGAGGATGAGAGGAAATGGGCTCAAGCTGCGCCAGGGGAGGTTTATGGATATTAGGAGACATTTCTTCACCAAAAGGCTTATCAAGCACTGGAACAGGCTGCCCAGAGAGGTGGTGGAGTCCCCATCCCTGGAGGTATTTAAAAGATCTGTAGACATGGTCTTAGGGACATGGTTTAGTGGTGGGCTTGGCAGTGCTGGGTTAACAGTTGGACTTGATGATCCTAAAGGTCTTTTCCGACCTAAACAATTCTGTGATTCTTAATTGACAAGTAGCACTTCGACTGTGTGCATTTAGTACACATACATTTAACTTGGGGTCTCCTCTCTTCAAAACTCCCAACCGTAGATATCTATGTGCCTTTATTTTCACAGTGATTCATAAATCAAGAGTTGAAAACATTTACAACACCTGGTAATAAAGTAGTTGATATCTTAATTAGCAGGACCCGTTGTATGAATGAAGCCTAGCTATTCAGTGACTTTCGACTGCTACAATCCCATTAAATACTTTGGTATCTTTAAAATGCCTATGCTGCATAGGAGACACATTCATGCACAAAAGACTGCTAATGCTTAATAATTTACACGTTTATATGCTTATTTTCAGTAGCCTGGACTTTGTAAAACTAGCTGCTTATCTTCTGAGCTGACACAATGACCCAATAAGCAACATGACACTCGTTTGTAAGCAGCACGACCTTTCTCTGCGTTCCCTCCATTTGGGAAGGGATTGTCCTGAATTGTCCTGTAGCAACAAAAACAGTACTGTACAGAAAGGCTCTAGAATATGTAATTACAAAAGGCACTTCTGAGAATTAATTCACACAAGTAGTCCAGTGAAATTGGAGTTTTGCCTAAAAAATATTTACCAAACATTTTCCTCCTTCCCCTCCTACTCCCTCCTGTGACTAGGTTAGGTTTTTTGAAGCTAAGTGAAAGAAAAGGAGAGCAAGGTAGGATAGGGTGAGAAAGGGAGAAGGCAAAATCCCTTTTCTCTGTTTCTCCCTTCTATTCCAGCATCTGGGCTCCCCTTTTGGTACTGTGCTCTAAAAACATCTGTATGTTTGGTTCATAAAAACCTGGTAACTACCATGAGATTAAAAGAATTAGTTAAGCCATCTAGCCTTTAAAATTGAGTAATGTGAAATTAATTCCACAATAGTTTAAGTGTTTAACTCATTTGAGTTTTAACTCATTCCCTCTGTTCAGCGTTCAGACTTTGGTCACATCCTGAGCATTAGAAGTAAACCTAGGTCAAGATATGAGGCAGTGTTAAAATGTGCTAGCTAATGATATTTTTCCAAATATAGTTCTGATCATCTGAACCTCATTTACTTTTGTTTCCTGGAAGTATTTTGAAACGTTGCTGATTTCCATAGCATAGGCATGGTTTTAGGGTGTGCTCAGTTAACCATAGTGCTAACACGCATGCCTGGTACCCACACACAGAGATTTATTATAACTGATACCACTTATTGATTAATAGTAAAAGAAACAAGAACTCACTACCTCAGATTTTGTAAAAGCTCTGATTTATACCGAGGCGATTTGTCAACTGGACACATTTTGAATTTGTGAAAAAGTGTTTGCAGCCTCTGAAAAACGGGATATGTAAATCCCTGAATTTGAGATTACTTAGAGAAATACCCAGTACAGGCATTTAGAATAGCATAGCAGTGAAATAATTTATAAGGACTTTGTGATACTCCAACATGTTCTTCTTACATGACTGTATTTCTGTTTCCACTATCTTGCCTGCATAGAGCAACGGAGGAGGAGGAGAAGAGGAAATCGTGCCCTGTATGCCTAGTTCAGCCCCTCAAGCCTCCAAAATTGGTAAGTAACCATGTGGACATAGATGGCATCCCCTACAGCCACATGCTAATCAGTACCAAGCGGAGGTCATTTTCCACAGGTTACTCTCCAGCTTGTAGGCAGTATTATTCCAGTTTCTGGGGGACTTTTGGCTCATTACAAGTGCTGTCAGAATTGTCACCCTGCTAGCGGTCTCAGAGACAATCTCACCCTCTTCCTCTGCATTCTCAGTTCATGCATATTTCAAGAGGTCCAGTTTCAAGTATTGCCAGCACGGCCCCTTTCACCAGTTTTTTATTTACATTGTTTAAATGTGTCTTACTGGTCTGATGGAGGCAAGGCATTTGTAGGGCATTTAGACTATTTGCAGTAATAGGTTATATACAAGCATTTGAGCGTGCAGGCTCGTAATCAGCTGCTTCTGTGTCAGACCCGTCTGAGTCTTGAAGGTGTTCCCAGAAAACTTGCATTTCCCTCACCTCATCGGCTGATCAACCAGGAGGCATTACCTGTCATACAACCCTTGATGCTCTTCGACTGTCATGCCTACAGCACTTCTGGCATGTTGGTCTAGGAGTACTAAGGTAATATCCAAATACAGTTTGGTTTATCCTGCTTTTCCTAATGTACATTTATCTTCATCTATTGACATTAATATCCACATTTATAATGCTGAAGGAAGCTAATTGAGGCTGTTATTCCCTGAGTTCTTCATATTCACGCTGAATATGTTTCTTCACAATTAATTACAAACTTAGATTCTGTACTAGCATCTACTACAAAAGACAGGCCTTTCCAAATTATCACTCAGGTCAAAACGAACACTGCATTCATGGCAAAGGTCCATGTTTGTGAGGTCTAGTGACAGGATTTCACTGAAGAAATCATTCAAGCCCCCCTCTTCATTCTTCTGCCAGTTGTTTAATAAACATACTCCACTGCTTTACTGAGTTTAAAAATTATATAAACAAAGCTCACATCTTCACTTCTGTTTAGTGACTCTTCCTTTGTTTAGTATAACTTATTTCCACATACAAAAAAATTAAGGCCTCTACAATTTTTAAGTTGTCTGGCAGCGCAGCTTAAAAAAAAAAAAAAAAAAAAAAGTAGTCTATTTGCCAGCTGGGAAATTTCTTCAGATGAAATACTGTTACCCTTAGTTGGAGGCAGTAGTCTATTTACATATATTTAAGAAAAGTTTTTTTTCTGAGCTCCACAGAGAAACAGCCATAAAGAATAACCCAGAAACTTAATGCATAAGGTGGAGCATATTGCTTTACAGAAACCAGAATCAGTTTGCAGGACACAGACCGTATCAGGAAAGTCTTGCTTTCAATAGCAATGATACTGACAGTGTTGAAGACTGACCTATCAATATTACTAGGTTTGGACCATGAAGTATCCTAGAAAGCCAAAAATATTTTAAAGGTTTGAATTCAGTAACGTAAGTTTGCATTAGACCTTGGCTTCGATCTAGATAGGAATAATTGATTCAGTACAGTAAATTCAGAATTTATATTTTAAATTAAAATCAAAGTATCAAAATAAATTAACCTAGAAAAACGTGTCTTTTTTTACATAGCGAAGATTACTTTTAGGCAAAACTTAGCAGAAAAAGTTTGGGGATAAACAAAAGTTCTCTTTTGGCAGTGTCCGGTTTGGGATTTAGCTCTGTCCTCTCCTTGGAGGCATCTGTTAAGTAAAATTCATCAATACAAAAAGGCAACACAGTGAAAAGCTGAAATATTAACATTTCAGTAAAGTGCATGGGACTGTGGCTGACGTAATGGCTTTGCTATGACCTTATCTCAGACGCTGAATTAAACGATGGGGATGCCAGGTTCTTCACTATTCTATTGAGGTTTGCAATTTTTTCTTCTAGCAAATAGTTTTTCCTTTCAGCAGTTTTCTGCCGCTGTTCTGTCATCTCCAAAGCCTTCAGCAGTTGTGCATTCTCAACATAGAGATCCTTGACCATTGCATCTGCTTTAGTGTTCTTGGCAAGCTGAATTATGAACACAACATTATTACTCAGCAAATTAAAAGCAAAATAAAAATAAAAAAATTAAAAGCAAGAACAGTGCTGGGAAAGGAGGTGAATGTGTTTACTGTAATTCAAATATCAAAGGAAGACAACCCACCCATTCATCTTGTTTTCCTTTGTTAAAAACTTGTACGTTTGGGGGGTCTTTATAGATACTATGAGTATTTTGAAACTGGAAGGACTTTGTAAGGAGATCAGGCAGATGATAGAGGGCTTCAAAGGAATCTTGTCAGATGAGTACTGCTTTAAAGAACTTGTCCTGTAAGGATAAGTCTAGTTCACAAGAGGATCCATAAGCCCAGTAATCCCAGAGAGATACTTCCTCCGAGGTTTGGACCACCAGCTCCTCCTATAAAACTGGGGAGAGCAGCCTAGCACTTGTCTGCACGCTTTTGGGAACAGCCCTTTGCAGGAGACCCCGTCAGGAGAGCGCTTCGGTAACATGAAAGAGGAGACTGTACCTCAGCAGAAAACAGATATTGTTATCATGTCACGCCTGTCTAAGTGTTCAAAAGCCACCTTTTCCTACGCTATTGAGGACTTCTGAAGGCGGCAGACCAGGGCAAGAACAAAAAAACCCAAAACCCTGTCAAGCAAAGGGTGTGTTGGGGCATGGGGCGTCGCAAAATTAATAATTGTACAGTAATCCTGTCTGTACAGTTCAGGAAATTCTTTTTCCTCCTTTTCTAAGCAGCTTTTCCAGTTAGGATACTCGGCTGGAATTTGATGTTTGTTTCCTGACTTTAAGTGCATCAGCATACCAAACAAGCATAGCTTTTAGGAAATTAGTGAGTGGTGAATTCAGTCCTCAGTTTGGAGTTTTAGGAAGTTTGGGGCAAATACGCTGTACTTCAGGCTCAGAAGCATTAAAAGAAAAAGGAAAGCACCTTTAACTTTATTCTAAGCAAGAATGGCTTGGCAGCTTTTGCCCACTTAGTTGTTTACAGAAGTAATGGGGATGGTTTGAGGAAGAGAGTAAGAATGCTTACTTGTTCTTTCAGCTGATTTACTTTATCTTGGAGAAGCCTCTTCACAAGCCTTAGTTTCTGTTCAACATCCATCATACGTTCTTCCATCATTTTTAGAAGCTGCTCATGACCCCCCTGGAAAGCAACATTTGTGTGAGAATCAGTTAACAAAAATCAGTTCACATTCCCCAGTCTCCTTTTCTTCCGTTTATGCTTAAAAAAATAGCTGGCACTGCACATTTGAGTCTATTTTAAAGAGTTGACTAAATTGATAAACCATTCATGGAAGTAAAATGTTATGGCAACACTTAAAGGACGCTCACAGCATTGAACCAGTTTTCCAAGTCTAAGTTATACTTGAAATCACCAGATCTGAGAAAAATGGATATAAAATTCTAAGTTCTATCTTGACTGTGATGGTCAGATCTGGATAGTCTCCTTTTCTTGTTCTTAGGTGCTGCCATATTTCTGTTGAATGTGGGGAACAAAATACCAATGAAAATCTTAAAGATTTTAGAAAGAAAATTAAGGTGAAGTCATAAGGGCATGTTAGTTTGACAGTGTAACTCACCCACGCCAAAGCCCCCTTGAAATTGAGTAGTAAAAAAGTAGGATGCTATTATCCCAAACTTGATTTTTTACTTTTTTTTTTTTAATCAGTTGTTGATAACTAATGTTTCCAAATAGTAACTCTAAAATGCTTTTGCTCTTTTTCTTCAGTGAGGTAACAGACAGTCTAACTAAAAGCATAGTAACTCAGTGTCATGAGAATGCCCGTTACACCAACGGTTAAGTGAAATTTTCCCAGATAAATTAGAAACACCAGGAACTACAAGAAAGCTTGTTTGTACATGGGAACTTTAGACACTGACTGCAGGGAAAGGAATTCTGTATTTTAATGCTAGCTTGTTACTCTAATTCTAGGAAGTCATCTGAGAAGCTTAACTTTGAGAAAGCACTAAGCTTCTCTCCAAAACAAAATACCTTCAAAACCAAAGTACCTTCACACATGTGGGGGAAGATAAATGAAAAACTGAGGGAGTGTTTCAGGTAGGTAGCAGAAAGATCCCCTTAGGGGATTGATTGAAGTCCACTCAACATTTTATTTGTCATAACATCAGAAACTCCTTAAGTCTATGTATGAGGTTATACGATCACTTAACTTGTGAAAAAAATTGAAAAAAAAATTACATTAGAGTCATATAGAAAGCAGTTTTTCAGTGTTGCCAGACCGGATATTTTTCCGGATTTAAAAAAGTACTACTAAGCAGAACTTGTAGGGGAGTTTCTAGCCAAGTTATCTTGAGCTATCTTTTGTAATTTGATTGGAATTCAAGACCATGGCTGACTACTACACTTCATATTGGTTGCAGGAGCCTTGAGTGAATAGTTAAGTGGAAACTAAGAATTATAGTGGTCTCAGTACCTGTGATCCCAGTTTGTTTGGCTTAAAGTTGATTTGAGAATGTTCTGTCTAACTTCATATTATTTTACGTTTAATGGGAGAAGCCAGCTCAAGCATTAGCTTTAAGGTCATTGGAAAGATAGGAGCAAAAAGATCTTTGAAAGCAAACAGCTGAAATGGTTCATGGTTCCCAACTGGAAATATCATAGGCCTTAAAGAGGTGTTTTTCTGACCTCTTAAAGTACTAAAAATCTAGTTAATCTAGCAGTTTGAGACAAAAGAAAAACCACTAAGGAATGTTACCCAAGAAACAAATGCGTCAATAATTTTTCCTTTTCTAGCACTACCTTTCTATTTTATGGCCACAGCAGTAGAATATGGCCATGAACTATGCAAATTCTTTTCTTAAATGCGCAGGTACATCTGCTGAGAGAAGCTGAATATCTGTACTTAAGTACATCCCCTATTACAGATCTTTCCCAGAAGTCCTGATGTGACAATCCTCAGTATCAAAAGGCAAATATTTTGTCTAAAATTTGTTAATTCTTGTTCATAAAGCTGAAACTAGTGATACTATTAAGACAAGAGACATTATGTTTAAAAAAATTTTTATTTTTCATTTACATCAAAAAATGTCATCTTTCCCTGTTAAAAAGTTTATACATCTTATACAAAAATGCAGTATAAATACCCCAGATTTTCTTCAAATCTCATATAAAATTAGTCCCATTTGAGAAAAATAGTCTCTTCCCACACTGAACAACTCCACATTTTAAATAACATAAATAAAAAGTATTTGTAACAAATTAAAAAAGACAGCTTATGAACTTTCACAAAATAGCTTCTAGACAAATAAATAGGAAATAACACTGTGGAGACTTTTTTTTTTTTTAGAAAAAGCACAAAATAATTTGATCCTCAAGTTTCTCAGCTTATGCCAGTTCGTGTGTTTGTGTGTGTTTATCATGGTAAGGAATGAGATCATAAGCAGCCAAGCTGTCAGAGGTGCCCGATCCTCCGGTAGGAATCTGCATGCACTGCCCGCTGCTCCGGTAGCAAGGCCTAGAGAAAGAAGGCAAGTGGGATACTTCACCCTGATATCCAGATTTTCTTTTAAATACGTACGTATATTTAGTTAAAGCAAACCACCGATACAAGCGAAGCAAGCAAGCAAGACAAACAAAAACACACACAAAAGAAAACATGCAGAGTATCACATATTTCTCTAAATACTAGTATTAGCACTACGCATATGCAATTGAGGAGATACTCAGGGTGCATTTTCTAGATGTAAGGAATCTTCAGATGGCTCATCCATGTTTTGAGGGGATTTAAAAAGATCAGTGGCTGCGATTAACTGCAATTAGCAAAGCAGTTAAGTTTCTTAGAGGAAATTATCTGCCACTACATATATATAATCTCACAGATTGCTGAATAGTGTTGGTGAAAAAATGTAGTCCAACTGACCTCCTTTGAAAACTTACTTGCATTTGTATTTTAAACCTAAGTCTTTTCCTGAGACAGGTGAACAAGCTGTTGGTCAGAGGTGATTTGAATTTTGATATAAAGAGCTGAAGAAGGGGGCAGTTGAGCAACTCTAAGTACTCTGAACAAAAATGTTGGTTAGCAGAAGTTCTAAGAGAATTTAGGAACATATTGGGTCATTAACAGGCTCCCAAATCTAGTTATTGAGCAAGGAATACAAGAACAAGTGCAGCGATTGCTACTGTGCAGCAGGTAAGAATCACAGCACTACACACAGCAGAAACAGTCGTTTGGAATTCAGAAGAGCAGACAGGTTAACACAGTAGAAAAGGCTCAGGAGTTTTAATTTAGTGAAATTTGAACATCTGACTGTAGCCTGTGGAGGGCAACTGCTCAAGACTGACTGCAAAATGAATGAGAACGCAGACCACCATAGCAATGATCAAAAAGCAATGAAAACTGCAAAGCATCATGAACATAAAGTAATTCCAAAAAGGAGGGGGATAACTTTGGATAACTTATTACATGGAAGGACTCAGGGTCTAAGAAAGCTGCAAAGTGCAAAGCAGCAGCAGCAAAACTAGGTGATTAAATTTACACAGAAAGCATAGATAACCTGACGTACTCACTGGTGAAAAGATGATGAAGAGGGGTTAGGATGCAATTTTTCAAGATGCTAAAGGGGACATCAAAATGGACATAAGCTCAACTAAATGCTAACCCTAGAATTCAGGATGATGAAGAAAAATCAACATGAGAATTAAAGCAGGATGGGCTTACAGAAATGTCAAAGTTGAGACAAACTAAAGCAAATCTGGCCTGGCTAATAGTTGTAGAATGCATGTGTTTAGTAATGATTTTAGAAAGTTATCTAGTAAAGCCCATGAAAAAAGCTGTAGGACATGTTATAAACTGGAATATCCATTCACTTTAAGCAAAAAAAGAGAAAAAAATTAAAAGGATGAAGTGCATTAGTGCATTGACAGAAAATATTTGCAAAGCCTCTCTGAAAGTATTTTTAAATTCATGAAGCCTTCCAGAGTAAAAGCTTTTACAGGAAATGTAGAAGAGATTTATCTGTAGAACTACAAGTTCCAGGATGTGACTAGTTTGCAAATTGTTTCTCAGGCTTTCAAAGGCAAAATTACAAAGTCATCACTCCTAATGCAATACACAGCACATTCATTTGCAGATGCTGCTGCTGTAATATGGCTTTTATTGATTTCAGAATTAAACTGCACGCTCTACTTTCCATTGTATGTCTCCAAGTACATTAGCCTGTGGTAATGCACTTCTATCAGGACTCAGCTGAAACGGAGAGAACCTTACAATTGATTTCTTTTTACTTATCCTATATTATTTGCTGTTAAGTCCTTTTTTTGGGTGAACTTTTAGATTTTATGCCTTTCTTAAAAAAGGATTCTTACTCCCAAGTTTTGGAAACTTTCGCAACTGTTACTGCATATACTCTCTCTCCATAATACCTTTTTTCCAGAATACCCTATTAACGTGTTCAGAGATTTTTGAGCTTCAAAGTCTTGGTCATATTATTATTTTAAAAGTGTAACTGCAATCTGTGTTTAAAATTTAAAGGTTTTTTTTCTGCTAACAGATTAATAAATGTGTTAGTATTTTAAGTTATTTAGAGCTTTCTCTTTTCTCATAACATAAAGTTGTAATATTATTTTAAGACCTATAGCCTGAGCCAAAGCTTTAGAGATTCGGTTACTTTTTGAAGAAAAGAGTCATTTGGCAAGCCTAGTCCCCAAGCTTAATTCTTACATGGGAGACGCAAACTTTTCTACCTATTGCCTATAATTCAGGTTTACATGTTAAGAAAACAACACTAAAAGTGACTCAGCCCAATATGTGCAGTGGCTTCCTTGGAATTAGATTGTTTTTCCTCAGAAATACCAATGTTGAAGTTTCTATATAATGGTAAGAGTGTTCTCCAAACAATGTCTTGTCATATGGCCAAATAAGGAAGATAGGTTGGCCTTATAAAGAGGATTAATTTGTTTGTATTCTGCTCTCCTACAGCTGACAGAACTCTGTGTGACAGCAACAGCCCAAACTAGTATTTTATGTGTGAAGGGTATGTGCTTGTGCAATATGTGGTGTAATATATTTTTTAAAATAATGGTTCCAGACATGGACATTAGGTAAAGAAAACAAACCAAAACCTATGAACACTTACTGCGCATTGATCAGAGGGAGAAAAGCCAGTTGAATGTGGTTGGGAGTGGTTTTTATTTCAAAAAGATTAAGAGGACTTCAGAATTAAGCTATGGCTCGAGCTAAATATGCTGAACAACAAAGGTTTGTTTTGTACATAACTTTGAGAGAACAAATTTTAATTTTAATTTTTGAACTGGCATAAACAGAGAACGGATCTCAGAATTGAAAAAAAAAACCAAGAAAACTAACCGGATATCCTTTTAAAGTTGTAACCTGCAGAGTAATGAGAGCTTTACCTGTTGCATGTTTGTCTCAGAGGGTCGACTTTCAAGTTCTTCCTGAAGACGTTGACTCCTCCTCTCTGCTTGTAGTAGCTGGTGTTGGAGCTGCAGGAACTGTTCCTTGGGCACCACAGCACAGCCTTGCTGCTGGAGCTCCCGGGAGTGCGGCGGTTGGCTAAGCATCACACTGGCGCTTGAGTGGAGCATCTGAAGAGCAAAGTAAATCAGCCGTCAGGAGAAAGCAGCACTGCCGTTCACACAAAATGTCTTTTAGGGATGCAGTAGACATCAGGTTAGTCTTGAATGATTTCTTGTACAGAAGAGAAACAAGCCTGAACTCAGTAACAGAAGCTAAGTAGACAGCTTTTCTCTTTCCAATGAAAAAAAAAAATGCATCTTTATGTGCAGTTCTGAAGTCTAAAGGAGTCTGAGCTTTGTTTCATAATTTCAGGCCTGAATTATAAATTCACTGAATTTCTGATGAAATCCTGTCAAATTTAAATGGGCCTGTGGTTTTAACTTAATAGTCCTTTTTAATTTTAACCTTGATCTCAGCAGCTCTTCTAAAAATAGTATCCACTTGCAAATAAAAGCACTAGCATGAGGCAGGCTGAAGAAGTTGTCTACCAGTGCTGATTATTTCTAGTCTTTAATCTAGGATGGAGCAAGAACATCCTCAAAAGCAAACCAAAATTTCCATGTAGTGTATGACGACTTAAGTGATTTGATGCCAGCTGCTATATCACATTCAGAATTCAGTCTTTAGAATCCCATATCTTTTTCCTTACATTCACTGCTAACTGTAGAAATTTTAACACATTTGATAATTTTCATTTTGAGCCATGCCACAAGCAGAGTTTGATAGCAAGTCTGGAGACCTCCTGAGTGTCTGTGCTGCAGAAGCAAAAGTACACTCAGAGGGGCCCTTGAGATACGGATGCCTGTAGTAATCTGAAGTAGTTTAATTCGAAATTTAAGTCTTGCTTTCATTAAAAGAAAAGGTTACCAAATGCATCGGCAAATCTATTTAATGTAAAGGTAGTATATACCAACAAAGAGTTTGTGCATACTGGTTGTCCTTTGTGAAGTTATACTACCAGAAAAGTCTTTTAGTTAGTAAAACTAGGCGTCTGGTGTGGGACAAAAAGATCGCATTCCTCATAGTCCTTGCTACAGCAAAAAGAGCACCTCAGAACAGACTTGTCCCAAATGGTTTAGCCTCCCTGCATCATTTAATTAAGTGCTGCTCCCAAGCAATGCTATGACAGTTACTGGATGAAGGTGGCTAGAAAAGAGGCATTTCTGGCATTACCTTACTCTGGTAGCATTGCAACCATGAGAGCCCAAGTTTGATAAACTGGCCCAGCATTAGGTGAACTTTCGGGCAATATTAAGAGCTAAGATTGTTTCATGTGACTATTTGGCATTTTTCTAGACTAAAGTAAAATCCAGGTAAGACTAGCTCACAGTTTTAATAGTTTATAATAGTAAAAAAAGACCAGACCTGTACAGTAGAAACCCCTGATGTTTCAGACAAGCTGATTTGCAGCTTGAATTCGCATAATATTAGTACTTTCTTCCCATAAAATTCAGTTGACCACATCATAAAATTCTCACCTGTTATCTCAAAATCATTACTCTGTTCCCTTAGGAAAAGGCATATAAAATTACATTAGTGGTTTTAATTTTTCTTTCAGAAGTGGTAGATTAAGGCCTTAACTCATAATCGTATTTCAGTTATTGAGTTCATCTACAATACCAACAACTGTAAGCATTTTTCACAGTGGTGCAGCTCTTCTGGCCATGTTAGCATCTGTACATCTCTGCTGCCCCAGGCAAACAGAAAATAAAATTTTAAAATAAAACTGTTTGTATTTTTTCTTAAACTACCAGGAGGTTCTCTTGAATCAACTTGTCTGTAAAGGAGCTATTCTTTCACTGACAATATAAATAATCAAAATAATGAGCTTTTGATGGAATTTGTTTAGGGTTTCCTGTAATGTTGTGAAGCACACAAGTATCTAATGACAGAGCTGAAGAAACAGTCAATTAATGCTAACAGCATCTTAAAAATAAATACCAGCTGCGTGGCTAATGAAAACAATCTAGTCTTGCCGTATTCATCTGTGGAAGAAAGTGGAACAATAATGAACTTGCTGTGCTAAACTATTAGGGATGATGTTGAGTGTGATCACATATCAGTTAATATTAAGGAAACATTTTACAGTCTGGTGAAAAAGCATGCAGATATCAGAGGTAAATATGAAAACACCTTCAAGCCTCACAGTCAATGGGTTAGAAAGAAAGGGTGGAGCCACTTTTCATTTTCTTAGGATCAATTTAATTCTTTTGAATGCAATGGATTATTCCTCTCCATTTTCATGGCAATGCCTTAGAAGTATGCGACTTCTTGGCCTACAGAATCAAATTGCACGATATACTATCCACAAAGAAGTTAGTGCGGCTGTCAAAGTAAAAAAATTTACATTAAAATGAATAGTGGCTTCTTTACTTAAAAGAATAATGGAATAATAATAATAAAAAAAAAATCCATAAAAGAAAGAAATGTTTTCTCCATGCTATGGTAGTACATTGAAAATGATTGCTCTACCTTCGCACACTATTTCAGAAAGAGAACTGCACCCTTCTCTGCTAGTTCCAACCACTGAGTTCTAGACAGGTTAGCCATGAACAAAAGGAGAACAGGCACAAAAGAGAAAGTTAGAAGTCATAAAGTGCTAAGTGAATGTTATACACACCTGCTGGGAAAATGTTATCAGGAGTATCAAAAGTCCTGCACATTTGAAATACAAAGTTTGGGAGAAAATGCAATTCCATGCTTGGTTTTTTACACTAAAGGGTGGGAATTTTCCCAAAACTTAATTAAGACTATATAAATAAAAGCACAGGGCATATAAACAGTCTTTTCTGTAACTTATCAAAATCTCATCTTTTCTAATCAAGTTTTTACAATTTCACAGCTAATTACATAGTATATTCAGCATAACATGTTTCCCATTTGCTCTCTTGATGAAAAACATCTTTCAATGAAAAAAGCCTTTTACTAAACAGTGTTGTAAAAGCTTCATCTAGAAGATGCTTTGGCTTATGGAACAAGTCAAAATTGTGGTGGTGGGGTAGGGGTTTTTTTATATTATGTTTTAAATTAAAATTCAGGATGTCAAGTTTAGGCAAGACTGCTGAGAGACAACTCGGAGGTCTAGCCTGACCATAAGGGATACACCAACTTAACATAGTTAAGCTTGCCCGTTCCTGTAAGCAAGGACACCTAAGAATTACGCAGTTTTCATAACATCCAGCATGATCCGTCTCCAGCAGTACTGAACAAGCATCCACATTTACAGCAGGCTTTGGAAGAATCTCAGCTGAAGTTTTCACTGCTGCCTTTAGATTAACAGCAAGTTGTGTAAATTGTTATTCTGTCATGATCTAGATAAGATAGCAAGGCTTAAATTCCACAAATAATTCCCCTAGTAAATAAGAGAACAGGTTTCTACATTAAGAGCAGCGTTACGCAAATATTCGTTAGGAAGCTTGAGGTTACATGTTTTAGGAGGGAAGAGGAAAGTGTCAGCCTTGCTGCAAGCACAGAAACAAATTTCTTCGCTATTTCATTTTATATCTGAAGCCTTATGTGAATTACAATAAACCACAACATGCTTCAGAGAAGCATGTTTGTCACGCTAGCATCTTGATCATGAAAGATGAGATTAGGCATTAGAGGAGATTAATTCTAGTTTCGATTAGTTTCCTCTGTTCCTACACATCTAGAAATTGTTTTAAGATAAATTCATAGATTCAGCGAGATAGTGATAAAGCCCCACACTATTCAGTACGGTCAACACTGTTGAAAAGTACCTCCATTAACTGATCATCCAGTTTGACTTGCTTTTTTCTTAGCCCTTCGTTTTCTGAGCTGGTTTCCAGTTCACGTTCAAGAGAATTCATCTGACTGATCTATTAAAGACAAGAAGTTTCCTTAGAAAGACAGTAGTTTCTTATTTTATCTGCGTTTTTTTTTCTTCTAGTACGCAAGTCATGAATCACTGTACATCAAGACAACTCAAGATTAAAAGACATAAGTATTTGGACAGGTGTAACACTTTGCTAAAAATGCCAAGACAATGTTACGCAGCATGTCTGACACAAGCTTCAAAGAATAGTCAGGGTAACTGGTTTTTAATCTGAAAGTGGTAGTGCTAGCATGCAAGCGCTGTGTATTGTGGAGCACTTGAGAAAGCTGCATTCTGTGTATGGTTCCCACGTTCTACCGGTGAACTGTTTGTACTGACTAGAAGTCCTGCAGCACATTGGCATAGACTTCCACCCTGCACGCTCTGCGGAAGCGCAGAAGACAGCTCCTTGGGACAGGGATCCGTAAGAGACAACGCAAAGCTCAGAATAAAAGAAGAAAATTACAGCTTACCATGTTAGCTCTTTGAGATGGTAAATACGTGACTACTCAACGCAGTACTTTCCATCTAAAACTAACCTTCCTGTTTGCAGATGACAACTCCTTCTGAAGCTGTTCACACTCTCTCTTCAAGCTTAATTTCTCTTGCTCTATGGCTTTGACGATACCTGACTGGCTTTGATGCTTCTGGTGCTTTAGGGAAAGGATAGTAGATTCCAGCTGTCTGATCTAAAGAGAGCAGAGATGAACAAATGTAGAACAACATTCCAGACCATTGAAAAAAATCAAATTGCATCTATTTTAATCTAAAATACCGAGTACCAATTGATTTTGGACTCATAGCAGATTCTGGTGTATTTTTGGCACTGTAGCTTTGAGCAACAAAAGGTCTTGTCCTTCCTCTTCTCCGTAATCTGCCTAATACTGTGAGCCAAGAAACTGGACATGAAGAATGCTTGGAATATTAAGTTTTCATGAAATAAAAAAAATTGAAGAGCGTTAACTGAAAGTCAGACCAGAATCTTAGACAAGAGTTATCAGGGATTGTCTTTTTTAAAAAAGCTGTTTGAAACATCATAAGAGTGTCTGCATACTCAGTGCAGATATAAAGGAAAGCTATTCCATTATATATTCTTTCTGCAAATGTTTCTATTAAAAACCAGTGAGCGACATTCCTCTCCTGTATTACCCACTGCAAAACAAGAATCATTAGGTTTAGATTGGATGTTAGGAAAAATTTCTTCACGGAAAGAGTGGTCAAGCATTGGACCAGGCTGCCCAGAGAGGTGGTGGAGTCCCCATCCCTGGAGGGGTTCAAAAAAGGGGCAGAGGTGGCACTGTGGGACATGGTTTAGTGGGCATGGGGGTGTTGGGTTGATGGTTGGGCTGCTGATCTTGGAGCTCCTTTCCAACCTTAGTGTTTCCTGGTTTTACTTTCATGAAAAATAATCCAGTCACCAAGCCAGGAAACATGAAATTAATTATTCCTCTCCCCTTAATTGGTTTAGTGGTGGAGTTGGTAGTGTTAGGTTAATGGTTGGACTGGATGGTCTTAAAGGTCTTTTCCAACCTAAACCATTCTATGAATCTAAGTTTTGCCTATCACGCGGGGACCACCGCTGCGACCTGTCAGCTTGCTCGGGTTACCTTCTCCCTGGAGTGAGTCAGGTCTGTTTTAGTGCTCTGGACTTCTCTCTGCAGCCTCTCATTCTCCTGCCTGAGCAGCTGCTGCTCCTGTTTCGTCAGCTGGTCCAGTTCATCCCAGTGTAGTTGCCTCTGTTGGTCCTGCAGCCCTGAGGAAGGCACAGCCAGTTCTAGAACCCGATTCTTAAGACAGACAGAATTGCAGGGTTAGGCCTTAAACAAAGAAGCAGACATTTTCTCTATTCAGGTGGGTTTTAAGTAGGCTTTCAGTAAGTGCAGACTCTAAAGTCGCAGGATTCCCGTCTTCCTCCCAGCCTACACACTGTTTTCCACTAAGAAACCCAACATGCTAATCACAGTGCAAAACCAACGTGCTTTCCCTTTGCTACAATCATAGCTAATAGCTGTGCGCCAGAATGGTTGGTAGGAGTGCACAGAGTTCAACAACACAAAAAAGCAATTTGGGCTCCATTTCACAGCCTCATCAAGCAAATAACAGAACTCAGTATTATATATTATTCAGTAATAGCTGTAATTTAGTTCCTGTTGTACAATTCTGAAACAGCCTCTTTTCCATATGGACATTAAATATTCCTTAATTACATGGCAAACAAGCCAAATTACTAACTGAATTCATAATACCAATCCCAAGACTGCTGTCTACACCCTCCTTCAGTTACAGTTCCTCATCAGTTAAGAGAGGCTGATATAATACTGTGCCTTTCGAAACCAAGTTTGACTGAAAATTAGATCCCCCTGTCAATTACAAGTTTGACTGTTAATATGTTTGTAGTTTTGATAGGGGGAAATTCATACATTGTCCACAGTGGGTTGTTTTTTGTTGTCTTTTTTTTTTTTTTTTTTTTTTTTTTTTTTTTTTTTTGCAAAAGATTTCTGTCAGGGAAGAATGGAGACTTGGGAGATGGACTGATCATTGCCTGTTTTTATGTTCAAAACTTAATGAGTTTTTAAAAAAAAGTTTAAAATCTGCACATTATATACAATCTGACAAGACTAGTTAACTATTTCAAAATGGAAAACTACTAATGTAACTAGCAATAGGATGAGAGGAAATGGCCTCAAGCTGCATCAGGGGAGGTTTAGATTGGATATTGCGAGAAATTTCTTCACCAAAAGGCTTATCAAGCATTGGAACAGGCTGCCCAGAGAGCTGGGGGAGTCCCCATCCCTGGAGGGGTTCAAAAAACGGGCAGAGGTGGCACTTTGGGACATGGTTTAGTGGGCATGGGGGTGTTGGGTTGATGGTTGGACTGATGATCTCAGAGATCCTTTCCAACCTTAGTGATTCCTGGTTTTACTTTCATTAAAAACTAATCCAGCCACCAAACCAGGAAACATGAAATGATTCCTCTCCCCTTAATTGTTTTAGTGGTGGAGTTGGCAGTGTTAGGTTAATGGTTGGACTGGATGATCTTCAAGGTCTTTTCCAACCTAAACCATTCTATGGTTCTATAAATACAGAAAACATCATTAGAAGAGGGCTTTTTTTGTACCTACCTCCTTTCAGCTTTTTTTTTTTTTTTATAATTAGCTTTATACCAACTTGATTAAAAAAAAAAAAATCAGTAGTTGCATAAGTCTCTCTACTTGCTCAAGTCTGCAGCACTATTTGTGTCCTTTTAATGGACAAGGCAACCTAAAGAAATCAGTTGGCTACAGTGGCAGGCTGCAGCAGAGCAGCAGCTAGTGCCCGTAAACCCTGGCATGCAAAGTTGACTGACTTTGAGGCACCTGAGGCCCATTACCTTTTCATTGGCATTCTGCAGTTGCTTGTGTAACGACATCACTTCTTGTTTAAGAGTTTCCTTCTCCTGTTGCGTCACCCGTAAGTCTGATTTTAGTCGGGATATTTGTAGGTTGGTATTTTGCAGCGTTTCATCTAGACTCTGAACCTGTAACGAGCAGAAACACAGCTTGGCATTTGCTGGACCCAGATTTCTTGTAACATTGGTGTCCTAGGATGCATATGCATCATGTATCACACCGTATTTAGGATCTCCGATGGAAGGAGTGAAGAATCATAGAATCATAGAATAATTTAGGTTGGAAAAGACCTTTAACATCATCCAGTCCAACCATTAACCTAACATTACCAAGTCCACACTAAACCAATCAAGGGGAGAGTAGCAACCCCACGCCTCCTGGCTTGGTGGCTGGATCATTTATAATGAAAGTAAAAACTAGGAATCATTAAGATTGGAAAAGACCTCTAAGATCATCAGTCCAACCATCACCCCAACACCCCCATGCCCACTAAACCATGTCCCCAAGTGCCATGTCTGCCCCTTTTTTGAACCCCTCCAGGGATCGGGACTCCACCACCTCTCTGGGCAGCCTGGTCCAATGCTT